GTTAGAATCATGAAGGCGCTTTCAATCGTCCCATTTTTTTAAACCAATGAGGACATCAAACCCGCTCGGTATATTCGATGAACTGTGTTTAGAATACCAGGAAGCCATACTGCAAAAAAGGAAGGGCTAAACGTTGTCCCAAAAGGAGAGGCAGAGGAGAGGGTCAGACTGAATAATGTGAGTATGAGCGGTTGACCTTTGCCTTTGAGTGATGTACATAAGCTAATGAGATGAATATTCAGTTTTCAGATGGACGGAAACGCTAAAGATGTAAAGGGAATACAGATCCAGGCTATCTCGCGTCTACACAACAAGGCGGCTGATGGCTTTCAAGGCATTATGTCGCGCTCCGTCCTATGTGCTCTCCTACTTTCTTGTCACACAGCTTCCTCTGCGATATTCTGTCTTGCTTACCCGACCTGCTTTGAGTTGGTATCCAACTAAACTTATGCGTAAGGTTCACACTTTCTACGGATACCCACCTACGGGAGGATAAGGGCTTTCTTGAGGTCATGCCTTGAGAATCTAGTGAGTTCCACCAAATATAAATCCAAATCGAATAGCCATTGGCCCGAAACGATTTGCCACTTCCGACCACAAAGCTAACGAGACAAAGACCCTGACCAGTTCCTTCCAAGTCCTGGCATCCTTCCTTCAGCATTGAGAACGACCTCGGTACAAATAATCTAGCTCCAATTACGGTCTCAACAATAGACAAAAGCCTTACGTCGAAAGACTGATAACTGCGCCCGTGGTACTTTCTCAGTTTCTGGGCCATTTTCGATTCCGGTGTAGTGATCTAGCTACGAGCGCTTATTTCCTCTTTTGGAAAGGCATGGCAGACGTTGAACGGCCACCTGGAATAGGGGAGGCCCACATTCGAGTTACACTGGCTCAACCGGTGAATAGCATCATTGCAGGACTCTTCAAAGTGACGAAGGAGTGGGTCCTGTATATCCTGGCTCATATGCCTTTCAGAACATCATTACAAAAGTACTATGAAGGTGCGCTTTATCATTACTTGCAAGTCCAATTATATGTTTCTGATTCGTTTAGAACGGCAGGAAGTGGGTCATTCAGGACGGCAGAAAGTTGGGATCGTTCAAAGATTAGGTGCAGATTGTCCGCTCGGCAAGTCCCGGTTATCCGAATCTTCTTAACTCCGCTGATAGGGAGAGGTAGTTAACTACGATGACCGTCGAGTGACCGTTGAAAACCTGTATTCAAGACTTGATGAGTGCAGGTTCATGCTGGTCCGTACTACCCCCTGAGCCGCTTCTGTCTAGCTGACCAAAATGATAGATTCGGGGCCCTCCAGGAAGCGGAAAAACGACCCTTTCTAAGCTTTTAGATCAGTATATCAGAGCCAAAGAAGAAGACTCTATCGTATTCTGGACGGATTCGTGGCCGACTAATTTTCATGAGCAACGAGATCTGAGCGACATGTATCATAGAAACATAGTCGGAAACCGTAGAGTGGTTCTCATCATTGATGAGGCCCAACGTACCTACTCAGACCTCGGTGTATGG